AGAACAACGCCTTTGCACCCAGAATCTGATGGCATGGTAGAGCGATTTAACAGAACCATAGATAACTATCTGAGAATTGTGGTCAACAATAAGCAAGATAATTGGGATACGCAACTTACAATCCGTAGAGAGGTGGTTTACATTTCTTTTTCCTAAGCGACCCACGGCAGTACCCGGGACACTACCCAATCCAGGCCCCATGGGATTCCTTACTCCCTCCCTTTGGTTGAATAACTTTATATCCTTCAAGGCTACTTTGAAATGTTTGTTAACTTTGATAATGTCTTCAGAATATTAACTAATGAGAATCTGACTTGTATTGAAAATAACGCGGATTTACTACCATAAAAAGAAAGCAAATTGTTGAATATTGACATTGAGAGGCAGACTTTTAGTATAACGACTAAGTCAAAGGATGGCATTGTGTGATGAGTGAAATGACCCTTTGCGGAATAGATTACTGAAAATATTTATTTATCTGATATACCTACATCAAAACTCTTGTTGCAATAGATTAACGGGGGTTGTTTTTACAGTTGAAATTATTCATAAACAAACTCGTGTTTTCTACTCGTCAAGGGTGTTTTTTAGAGGTATAGAACTTTAAACTGAAATGAAACTAACTAACATCATGTTAACTGGATCTATTGAAAATACAATCGTATGCCATTATAGCTTTAATATGATTTGGGCATCTGGGCGCCGCGGCTGGCTCAAATGAAGAGCATTCTGGACGTCCAATTTTCGGCCACTTCCAAACTTCTTTCAGACCGTAAAGGACAAAAACAGTGAGTTTTTCTGGATGTGACGGGGTCTCAATAATGGCTTCTGGATTTTCGTTGCTGCTAAATCCGCCAATTTTGTTTATTTAAGCCAAAAACGATTATGTCGATAGACGTAGACATAAAATGAACGTAGCGCAGGTGAGATTGGGAAACTGAGCTGGCTGCTTTTCGAAAAAAATTGGCGAATTTGGAGCGGCAAAAATTAAAAATCCGAAAGCCATTAAAGAGGCGCCGGTATGTCCAAGAAAACCTCCTGTTTGATGTGTTTTTTTATGGTCTAGTATAATTTAAGTGGTAGGAAATTAGACTTCCTCCGTGGATTGCTCTTCATTCGAGCCAGCCGCGTCGCTCAAATACCCCAAATCATACTTACGCTATAATGGCATATAATTGTCTTTTCAATAAAGCCAGTACCATGACCCTAACATGAATTGTATGAGGTTTATTTCAATTTAAATTTCTGTATCTGTAAAAAACACCTTTTACATGGTTCCAATCCCAAAAAAGTACCCTCAGTACATTAAGTAGATAGACATTTTTAATTTTTGGATAGCACATGAGTAAGCAAAATACTATCTTGTCGATTCAATGCTTGGACCTGCAGGTTTATACGTTTTACATGCTTAAACACGTTTGCTTAATGACGTGTGGATTTCTGATTACATAAAATGTTTCTTAGAGCCATCGACAGTAAATCCCATCATGGCGTAACAACAGCTTACACGTCTACTATCATTTCTAGAATCACTCAAAGCTTTATTTTTCTGTACTGTGAAGTTCGAATTGATTACTCCTATCTCACTACATCTGCTTCTCTCACGAATCTCACATATATCAGTTTTCTCTTTTATGTTTGATAAAATAGCCATATTTTCGACAAAAGAACTCCCACCTTGTTTGTAAAACTGTTCGTGTAACTTTGCAATTTGATCTGATGTTTTCTTTCTGGTTTGCTGGTAAGGCCGATAAGCTTCACAAGCTTTTCTTCTAATTCGTTTAAATTTGCTTCGTTATTGCGTCGAGTATGTGATTTCCATTCGGTAAACACCTAACAAACAAATTACGAATAATCACAAAATGGAAGCAGCTATTTCATAGCTATCTGTTTTGTATTTCATATACTTGGTGTCTCGAAATTATGGACTTCTAAACCATAAAACCTGTTTCCAAAAATACTACTAAGAGAATAAATTGTGAAATGCGTAACCATATACAGGGTGAGTTTTTTTCGATGACCAGCGGAAGGATCTTCGAAACTATACCAGTTACGAAAAAGGTTAACTGGACAAAGAATTGTAGTTTTTAATGCTCTACTCGAATGCAATTTAATTTTTCTAAAATTTGACAGCTATCAAGAGATATTTGGGAAAATCTTATTTATAGTAAATGTTTAAATTACTCCTAGTTCCGTTGATATTAATTTTAAAGGAAAACATTAAATAAAAAACTTATAGGAAATTTCCAAATAAAATGGCATAAGACATTTCTCCAAAATAAATGTTATTTTTGACATATGACACAAATTTAAGTTTTTTTAAATGGCAACCGTACTTGATTATTTCTTTACCTAATAGAGCATGTTATTACGATTTCTGTGATATATTACATAGATAGGTTTTTTTCGAAAATAAAGTGTCTTCGAACAATTTATACTTTTTAAATTTAGTTGATCGAAGTTAGTCACGGAAAATAGTTTAAGATATACAGCATTGTTTCCATAGTAACAAATACTAACAGTATGCTTCAGTATTTATTTTGACAACTATGTTAAAGTTGGAAATAACTTTATTTTAATTAAGACGGCTGCTCATTTAAAGTGTTTATTATAAAAATGAAATCATGTCAATAATAATTAAAGTTTAACTCTAAAACCTTTAATTTTTAATGCAAAACATCTTCAAAAATTCGAACATTATTATCAATGAAAACATTTTCTTTCAAACTTCTTTTTGGGTATTACTTTGAAGCGCGATTATTCGAAAACCTCTGGACAAAAGCAACAAAGTAGTAACTAGTGTAAAGAGAATTGAAAGCTTTTTTAAACGATGTGCCACTTGACCCCCCTTTCCCATTTAACATTCTCAGGGTTACATCAAGCCCTCCTAAGGGATGGAAACAAGGAGGCTAAAAATATTAATTTAAAGTGTTCCCCGTACAAATAAAATTGACGGGTTTTTCCAATTTTTCATATTTTTAACTGCAAGAAAGATATTAAGGGTGGGAAGTTTTCAAATTGACACCCGGTATACATCCGTTTGATGAGAAAACGGTGTCACCGGTCCAAGAAAGGCAGTATTATATTAAATCAATTAAATTAATCCGTGAAAAACTGATTAGTCAGTCAATTAACTTGAGCCAATGAAATAAAATTAAGTGAAACCGAAATTTGGTTAAGGATAAGTTCACGCGGTGTTTAAAAGCGAGAAACTAAAGATCAAAATATTAAATTATCCAAGTTATAATACACATAATGTGCAGTCATTAAATAGATAAACAGCTGTATTACCTTTTTCCAGTGGGTAGCATCTCTGACAGGTCCACCACAATTATTCAATTTTCTTGTCATATCTTGCCAAATTTTCGCAATTTGTAACGCATACTGTCGTTGAACAGTTCATTTCAATTTGAGAACACTATACAATGTCACATATTCCAAATAAATTTCAAAGTGTTTATTGCTTTTTGTCACTTTTATTTGGTTTTCCGTAAAACTTGCCATTGAGGAATTATTCGCTTTCAGCAGCTCTTGACTCAGTGACAATTATTATTCAGCCATTACCTGTTTTATTTTTCAATGTTACGATAGATACATTTGTGAAATATTCTAGAATATCATATTAACGTTATTTCTGATTTTGAGATGAGGGAAATATTTGAGGCCGGTCTGTAATGGTCTGCATAAGATAACTTCTCCATGCCTTGCCTATTATATATCCTGTATTTTCCCTTCTTAAATCACTTGAAATTTCAATTAGAAATTGCGAAATAGTAATTGTGCTACAATTAGTTGCTTTTTTGTAATTTCCGGTCCTCTGACAGAACTGTATCGAACACTTTAAGGTATACAGAAAAAATACTGAAAGAAGTTTAAAAGTGATAACTTCCAAAGTGCCATAGTTTAAAGTACACAACAATATTATGATTCGCTTTTGCAAAATACGGTTTCCCCATTAGTTTCAAGTAAATACCTGTTGTTTTATACGCAAATTTACAAAAAGTAAACTTAAACGACATAATTACCAAAAAGAAGAAATACAAATCATGTTACCGATAAATCAGCTACAAACGTTACAATTTTATCAGTTGGAAGACTTCCATGTTTCTTAAATTCGTTTGATTATGAGTCTCCGACAGAATAGTATAAACTTTAAATTAAACCTTGAAATCCTGTAATGCATATGATTCTCTTGCATGTTCATAAACAAATAAATAATAATTTTCAGTGCACATTATTTACCCCATAAAGTTACTAACTGAAAGCTGATGATCTATAAGTGAGCAAAATTTATTGCAATATAGATAAAGTTACATTTTAAAACGCCGTAAATTATTATCAAAGCTTGCTTGTTCAGTTGAAAGTGGTTTCTCCAATGTGCAATTTTTTTAGAATTATATTTAGAAAGTGCAATCGGCAATTCAAAAATATTACTCGGGAAAATCCGAATTTCTCTTATCTATTTGAATTTGCTTGAGTTTACAAGAAAGCACTTTACATAATTTACAATTTATTTTAGTTTTCGCAATATTTCCCAGATGTAACAATGAGAAGTGCACAAGATTTACCCACATAAAGTTACAACCCGAATTGAACCTATTTGATGAAAAATTGAGCAAAGCGAAAATGGCAGTTGGCGAAAATGGCAAAACGTTGATGATCTATAAGTAATCGAAATTTATTGCAATATTGGTGAAATATTAAATTTTAAAGCGCTGTTCCAGCTGAAAGTATTTTTATTCACCAACTGAAAGATTCCTCGGCGCAAAATATGTGACTTATTTTACCCGATTCGGAAATATATGTTTCAAAACGGCACGATTTCCCTTAGAAGGCGCGTTGGCAGTCAACCGCTGTTCAAAATCAATATGATTGCCACTCTATTGAACATAAAAAATGCTTTGGAAGCATAAATTGAATCAAATATTCGATTTTGTAAAAAATCTTTTAAAGTTATAGATTGGTTAATATAATGAGGTCAAAAAGTTTCAGATATTTACAAAAATCAAATGACACCTAAAGATATATCTTTTAAACAGATGGATATATCCTAGATAATTTATTCGTAAATCAAAAAAATTGCTGAAATACAAACAAATTTAATTCGTTTTACTGATGAATATATAAATTCCCCACTCCAGGCGGTTAAGAAAAAATCTAGAGTTTAAAAATGTTATTTCTAATTGAGTTTTTAAGACAAGGATACAACTACTTTTAATCGAATATGTTTCCTCTATTTACCCTAAAACTACACATAACATGTCACTGCCTAATCTCTTCATAAGAAATTTTCTCATTTTTATAACATCAGCTTCGGCATTAATATTTGGATCTAATGGCATCGTTTTATGTTAAAGCGAAGGTTTCGGGCGAGAATGTATAAATTTGATGGAACGGTAGGGATGTAGCCCCTCGTGACCTGTTATTTGATGAACGGAGTTTCTTGAAAAGTTAGAGGGCAAAATTTAATCGCAGCTGTTGAAACCTGCTTACCTACAGTAAGACTTTGACAATTAACTATTCAATTCCGTTCACTTTAACACGAGATTCAATTGGCTTCTATCACGTAGAAGATTTCAGCGATGTAGGCTCTCCTTAAGCTCCGCATGATGCATTTTCGATTGTATTGTAGATTTGAGGCCTGTTGTGCCATAAATGTTTGTCGGGTATTCTGAAGAACAGATAAAAATTTAAACACAAATATAAAGTTGACGTTATAGCCTAGGTAGACCTGAGGCTGATACATTTGTTCATAAATATATTTGAATACGTAGCAGCCGCTATGATATTTTGTACAAAATTGAAGGGTTCAAAAGACAAACAAAGTTGTTCAAAATTTAAATGTTTTCTAGCTTGAAGAAAGTGTTACAATGTTTTATTTTAAATATTTAGTTGTACTATGAGACTACCACTTGGCCCTTGCTTAACTTTACAAATGTAGTTAAAAGCAAAGTTGAAAGTATTCTCAAGAGCTAAAATTTTCGGGAAATAAACCCAACACTTTCATTATATGTCCTCCGTGATCTCTAGTCAATCCTTAAAAGGAATATCGCCAATTTTAGATTGTGGATTGGATGGATAATCTACAATTCACCAATACAATATTGGTGCTTAATATGGTCTCTCTACAAGAAAAAGCGCTCTAGGCCAAAGGTAACAATGACATTTACTTGATTTCGAAATGCGTTTTGTAAAGAAATAACTCTCGTCAACAACGTACGTGTGTAACGGAAAAACTATGAATTTGAATATTTAAGCAAAGTCAAAATTCTTGTTGAGCTCGGTTTATAACGGGTTATAACAGTCGAGGTTGTCTTACTGGTATGGCTTATTGTAGCGAATTTTACAACTTAAGCCTCAAGATCATGGGCGACGCAGAGCATACGTAAATTGGGTGATTTAACAACAAGCCGTTGATGATGATGACTGAATTTTCTTCAGCGATGAGGCTCATTTTTCGCTCGGTGGTCACGTGAATAAACAGAACAGCCGTATATGGGGCCCTCAAAATCTTCAAGGGATCGCAGAAAGGCCTTTGTATCCTGCAAAAGTGACCGTATGGAGTGCATTATGGTCATGGTGGTGTTATTAGCCCGTATTTTTTTAAAACGATCAAGGAAGAGCCATAACAGTCAATTCTGAGCGCTATGGACGCATGTTAACCGATTATTTTTAGAGAGAAACTGAAGATTATGATCTGGAAGACATGTGGTTCGAGATTGAGTGATGTCAATTGGCCCTTAAGATCCTGCTTAACATCGTTAATCGACTTAACACCGTTAGATTTCTTTTTTTGGGGCTATGCGAAAGACCGTGTTTACGCCAACAATCCTCAAACTCTTGAGCAACTGAAAGCCAATATCCGTGAAGTTATGACCGAAATTTACCGTGCCGTTTAATGTGCCGAAAAGTCATTCAAAATTACCTCAACAGGATTGAGGCCTGTAGGAGGTCCCGTGGAGAACATTTAAATGGTATTGTTTTTTACGTATGTCAAGGCTTAATCTTTATATTCAATTAAAATTTTCGTCAACATCTGAATATTTTGTCTGTTTTTGTTACTTTACCTTCCAAACATAAAATGGTTAATCCTGTATAATAGTTTAACCAAAGAGTAAAAAGAGGTCGACTAGGCAAAAAACATTTGATGATGTTGTCGGGCTTCTGTGACCGTGTCTCTTTAAATTTGTAACTTGTGGTATTTTCGGTTACGTTAAAATTTCCTAAAATATTTAATAATAAAGTCGATGAAGTTCAATAACAGAAACGCTGGATTTAACTACTGCTGTAAAGTTTGGCATCTTTAAATAAAATTTATCATGTGCCATGTTATTGTGACATTAATTTTATTCAATTCATTGTTTTATATTCAAGTTAGTGGTTTTATTCATAAACTTGCCTGTTTTTTTCTTCAGAAAGAGAAAAGTATCTCCATGATGAATTGTTTTTAAATTTATTTTGACACTCTTTATATAAACGGTATGTGTCAATATTTTGGATACGAAACACATAAAGAATACATTTAAAATTTGATTAAATGGATACCTAAATTAACCGCTTCGACTTGTTATAAAGTATTGGATGTTGCCAACCCTTATAGCAAAATACTCGTCTATACCTCATTTAGACGAGCTTATTGCCTTTGTGGGGTTCACATTGTAATTTTAATTGTGTTTTGTTTCTCTTTGGTGGATAGGATCAAGTAGCGTCAATAGTTGGCTACGAAAATTCTACTATACTTGAAATCGTTTAACTAGGATTTCGTATTTATATCTTACATCATATTGAAAGGCAAAGTTTTCCGATGGATTTCAAAAATCAGCTAATGGGCCTTATATATCTTTAATTTCTCCCATATTAGTCTGAATTTTTATGTCTTGGCCAAATGAATCTTGTTATTAGATTTTGGTTTATCCGTAATCCTTTGCAATACTTTGAGTGCACTCATCTATATTTTCAGTCACTTATACATTGTGAACTATTTGAAAGCATATTTTTTTTGCAGAACTAGGACTGTATTTTAGGGCAAAGTGTCCCAATTCAGTTATAAAGTGGCCTACTTGGGAGTTAATTAACGACAAAAATTAAAGATGCCCGGTATGAAAAAATACTGGAAGAGAATATGCTGTTTTGTATTTATAAATTAACTAATTAATTAATAGCATTGTATCAAAAACATTCCGCAAATACCATGTTCTCAATTTGTTACTATGTTTAAAGATTGTGTTAAGAAAATTTTATAATCTCTAATTGATGGTTAAAAGAATATTATAATTTATTGGATGCCCTGCTAACCATAATTCGGTCGCATTGAAAATAATGCCTTGACAGTCAG